GACCCCGAGTTTAGTGGCTTTGAGGTGGATGTGGCCATAAGGGGTTGATGAAATATCAAAAAACCTCGATAATATCCCATGTGCAATATTTGTGCAACACCCTTTCAGAATGTCTTATAACCTATGCCCTAAGTAAAGACAAACAATTCTGGAATGTAATACTTGTTCAGCAGGTTGGGTGGTAGGCTGACTGGCTGGCCGGCCACCTGGCTGGCTGGCCGGTTACTAGCAGCTTGGCTCCGTTTGTTTGTCTGTCTATGTCTATCTCTGTCTGTCTCTATCTCTGTCTCACAGGTACACATAAATACAAGTATACATAGTGTAAATTACCTAGGATAACCCAAAAAATCCAGACAAAGTGCTATACTCTGCTTGAAGATACGAGTAAACGTGATTATGCAGTCTTATGGCTCTCTCTGAGACAGAGAGCTAGATGGATAGACAGATAGACAGGGAGCTTGACAGACAGGGACCAGGAGCTTGGACTGGACCCCTGAAATCTCAACTAGGTGAGTACAGACAAATAGACAGACAGACATGTTTGTGTACCAGCGAAAACAAAGCAAGGCCGATGCTCATCAAATGTCACCTCTAATCTTATCAAGTCTCATCACAGCACCCACGTGTATGCTCATCAAATGCCAGCTCTTATCAAATGTTATCTTATCATGTCACTGTCAGGGGTGGACTGAGGCTTGTTTTTATGTTTCAAGGGTGGTGGTGGTGATGGGACGACGACGACTACGACGATGACTACCACTACTACTTCTACTACTACTACTACTACTACTTCTTCTTCTTCTCCTCTTCTTCCTCTTCCTCTTCTTCTTCTTCTTCTTCTTCGTCGTCGTCTTCTTCTTCTTCTTCCTCTTCTTCTTCTTCCTCTTCTTCTTCTTCTTCTTCCTCCTCTTCCTCTTCTTCCTCCTCCTCTTCTTCTTCTTCTTCTTCTTCTTCCTCCTCCTCTTCTTCTTCCTCCTCCTCTTCTTCTTCCTCCTCCTCTTCCTCCTCCTCCTCCAAAACATTGCTGGGACCTATAAATACTTTGTATATATTCCAAGACAATAGTAAATGGCCAAGGCAGGTGTAAATGTCCACGTGTCAGTGTGTTTGTGACAATCTGAATACAATTTCAGTACCTAATACTAGTGTCAGAACAAAGACTGGTTATGAAATGACAAGAACTATGATAAGTTGTAATTATCAGAACATAAAAATTATATAAAATAACATGAAAAACAGAGAAAAAAAGGTATATCGGCAACACTTCTGCAAGCAGCAGGACTCGACGTTGCTGTCACGTGAGCATCCAGTGCCAACTTCTCGGCCTCATATTTCTGTAAGTACTGGTCCTAATTTTTTTTATCCTATAACACTTAGAAAAATGTGCTCTTTATTTTCATTAAAAAAAAGATAAGATTTTGTTGGGATTTTTAACCTGTAGGGTTAGCCACCTAGGATAACCCAAAAAAGTCAGTGCATCATCAGGGACCATCTGTCTTTTTTCCATTGTGGTCCTTCAATCCAGGATGTGACCCACACCAGTCCACTAACACCCAAGTGTCTACTTACTTGCTAGGTGAACGGGAACAGCGAATGTAAGGAAACACAACCAATGTTTCCAACCGGCCAGGGATCGAACAATGGACACCCAGTGTCTGAGGCAAGAGCATTGCCTACGAGGACAGGAGTGGCTTCTTCATGCCATTAGGACTGAAGAGGTCACTCCTAGTGTAACATTTCCTATAATAAATGTCCTGTACCGAACACAAGTGTCTTTTTCCACATCTTGTTGGTGTCACCATGTCATTGTTCAAGCTGTAAGTGAATGAAAATTTCAACTTGTCTCTAAAGTGCACACACACACAGACACACAGACACACACACAGACACACAGACACACACACAGACACACACACACACACACACACACACACACACACACACACACAGACACACACACACACACACACACACACACACACACACACACACACACACACACACACACACACAACAGTAGTATAGGCTAAGCTGGGAAAAATGAGGATGAACTTCAGAAATCAAGCCAAAGAAAGGTTCTATAAAGTCAATCTTCACATGTATGTGACTAGTCCTTAAACACAGTGCAGGTGTAAAACAAGTAAACCCGTATCTACCCAAACACACGGCAAACCATCTAAAACCTTTAATGGTACGCACCTAGACAAGTACCTGACCCAAGATGACCGAGATGTAAGCATAAGTCAGGAGAACTAGATTTCCTGTTCTTCAAGAAATGCAAAACTAGAAATACAGATCTAGCAATTTTTGCAGTGTTTTTGTAGTTTTTTGAAGTGTTTTTGTAATTTTTTCAATGTTTAGCAGTGTTTTGTATTGTTTTTGTAGTTTTTTGTAATATTTTTGTATATAAAAAATAAAAAAAAAAAAAAAAAACTGTTCCAAGGTGTGGACAGTTTTGACAAGGACAACTTTTTACAACAAAGAGGATCCAGAACATGCTGACACATATGAGAAAGCTTCTGTACAAGCGTTCAAAGTATAATATGCACAGTACATTTGTTTCAAGACAGTCTACTGAAACAGAGAAGACACTGAATGGGCGGTAGGACTGAATGCACTGGCCTGGAGTGTTAGGACTCGCTTGTCTTGGGGTCATCAACTGGACAAGATTGTAATAATTGTAATGCGTGTTGTAAAAGTCAACTAAAATGCCGGGAACAATGGGCTAGTAACCCCTTTTCCTGTAAAGATTACTAAAAAGAATAAGAAGAAGAAAATTGTCAAAGTGGGAAGTCTGAATGTGCGTGGATGTTGTGCAGATGATAAGAAAGAGATGATTGTGGATGTTATGAATGAGAAGAAGCTGGATGTCCTGGCTTTAAGTGAAACAAAGCTGAAGGGGGTGGGAGAGTTTCAATGGAGAGGAATAAATGGGATTAGGTCAGGGGTTTCAAATAGAGTTAGAGCTAAAGAAGGAGTAGCAATAATGTTGAAGGATAAGCTATGGCAGGAAAAGAGGGACTATAAATGTATTAATTCAAGGATTATGTGGAGTAAAATAAAGATTGGATGTGAAAAGTGGGTTATAATAAGTGTGTATGCACCTGGAGAAGAGAGAAGTGTAGAGGAGAGAGAGAGATTTTGGGAAATGTTGAGTGAATGCGTGGGGAGTTTTGAATCAAGTGTGAGAGTAATGGTGGTTGGGGATTTCAATGCTAAAGTGGGTAAAAATGTTATGGAGGGAGTAGTAGGTAAATTTGGGGTGCCAGGGGTAATGTAAATGGGGAGCCTTTAATTGAGCTATGTGTAGAAAGAAATTTGGTAATAAGTAATACATATTTTATGAAAAAGAGGATAAATAAATATACAAGTATGATGTAGCACGTAATGAAAGTAGTTTATTAGATTATGTATTGGTGGATAAAAGGTTGATGGGTAGGCTCCAGGATGTACATGTTTATAGAGGGGCAACTGATATATCGGATCATTATTTAGTTGTAGCTACAGTTAGAGTAAGAGGTAGATGGGAAAAGAGGAAGGTGGCAACAACAAGTAAGAGGGAGGTGAAAGTGTATAAACTAAGGGAGGAGGAAGTTCGGGCGAGATATAAGCGACTATTGGCAGAAAGGTGGGATAGTGCAAAGATGAGTAATGGGGGGGTTGAAGAGGGTTGGAATAGTTTTAAAAATGCAGTATTAGAATGTGGGGCAGAAGTTTGTGGTTATAGGAGGGTGGGTGCAGGAGGAAAGAGGAGTGATTGGTGGAATGATGAAGTAAAGGGTGTGATAAAAGAGAAAAAGGTAGCTTATGAGAGGTTTTTACAAAGCAGAAGTGTTATAAGAAGAGCAGAATATATGGAGAGTAAAAGAAAGGTAAAGAGAGTGGTGAGAGAGTGCAAAAGGAGAGCAGATGATAGAGTGGGAGAGGCACTGTCAAGAAATTTTAATGAAAATAAGAAAAAATTTTGGAGTGAGTTAAACAAGTTAAGAAAGCCAAGGGAAAATATGGATTTGTCAGTTAAAACAGAGTAGGGGAGTTAGTAGATGGGGAGATGGAGGTATTAGGTAGATGGCGAGAATATTTTGAGGAACTTTTAAATGTTAAGGAAGAAACAGAGGCAGTAATTTCATGCACTGGTCAGGGAGGTATACCATCTTTTAGGAGTGAAGAAGAGCAGAATGTAAGTGTGGGGGAGGTACGTGAGGCATTACGTAAAATGAAAGGGGGTAAAGCAGCTGGTACTGATGGGATCATGACAGAAATGTTAAAAGCAGGGGGGGATATAGTGTTGGAGTGGTTGGTACTTTTGTTCAATAAATGTATGAAAGAGGGGAAGGTACCTAGGGATTGGCGGAGAGCATGTATAGTCCCTTTATATAAAGGGAAAGGGGACAAAAGAGACTGTAAAAATTATAGAGGAATAAGCTTACTGAGTATACCAGGAAAAGTGTACGGTAGGGTTATAATTGAAAGAATTAGAGG